TCACATGTTCACTGTGATGTTTATATCTATGAGTAGAGGCACTGATGGCAATAGAAGTTTTAGTTGATTAAGGACGAGAAGATTTGACCCTCCAACTTTCTTTCTAAAGGAAGGGCTGTCCAGAGCTCCTGTGCCTGTTTATTTTCCTTTCCTGCCTGCAGTGGCCTTGATATACCTAAGAAGTCTCAGTTTTTTTTTCTCAACTATAAACTATAGAATTTTCTTGGTGTTTGGTTTTAAATATTCTCCTGTGAGAACTGCAACTCAATCGCTGTAGTGTTGTGTTTAAGAGCTTTCTGGAAAGTAACTAGCCTTTAAACAGAAGTAAAAAGCAGTGTTGCCAACTCTCATGATTTTGGCATGAGTCTCATGATAATTGTTTTCCTTAAAGCCCCAGCTCCTGGAGTCAAGTGGAGCTCTAATGATTTCAGCCTTCATTCTTAAAGAAAAATGAAGTGTCTAGTCCTTGTGGCTGTGGAGAAAGCTTCAAAATGTGAGCCCAGTGCACCCTAAAGGCTCACGAAGCAGAAAGCAACTAAAAATAACCCCAAATCTGTTATTTTTACATAATCTCATGATTTTAAAGCCAATCTCATGATGTTTGGTGAGCCGGATTCATGATTTTTGAACATTTGGGGTTGGTAATACTTCGAAAGTGTCAGTTTCACTCCTGTTTAAGGTCAGTTTCTAGTCTATTATCAGTAGTGAGGTAACACCCCTACAGCCCCCGGCAGGTGCAGTATAAACTCACGGGGGCCTTGCCCTAGTAGGATGTTTCCAAAGTTAAATGATCTATTCCAAGCTTGGTGAGCTGCAAAAAGAGTGACAGAAAGTAATCCAGGTTTTTCTACAATTGTTGTATTCAAGAGTTAGCAACAAAGAATATACATTAACATTTTAAACCTAACCAGTGTTACTTAAGTGACTTGACACAAGATGTGAGAACATGTTAGTATTAGAGCTGAGCGGGTCTAATATTTATTACATTCTTTTTTTTAATAGAGGAATTAGATACAGTGCTCCTATCAGCTAATTTCTAAGTTATTATCTGCAAAAAGTCCTAGAGTTTTCAGGTGCCTAAGTAGCCCTTGGAATGACAGTTAAAGTTGCCCTCCCCCTCAATCTGAAATGCTGCCCCTGGAACACTCCGCCAGCTCCTGCAAGAGAGGAAGAAGCGCTCACACCCCCGCTCGCTGGAGACACAGGGAATCAGAATGGCCTTTATGGGAGCTGAAGTGCTCAGGTCAGGGGGAGACTGGGAAGTGAGGCAGAAGCAGTTGGCCCCTGAGGTGCTGTGTAGGCGGGTAGAACTGGCAGGAGGCAAGTAGGCAGAGCTGCGGGAAGGCTCCATATGAGGAGATGGAGGGGGTGGCAGGTGCTCTGCAGAGGATGGAGGTGGGCAGAGGGAGCCAGCTGCCAAACAGGTGGATGGCTCATTGCCCTAATTCTGATACCCATCAAGGTTGGTCCCATGGGCAGATGCATGGTCTGCCTGCAGGGCCGGGCATGAAGTGGACAACTTGCCTAGTCCATTTGCATAATCAACAACAATCCCAACTTGCATTTAGATAGCACTTCAGACCCCATAGGCTTAAAAACCACGTACTACAGTACAGGGATCCCTCCACCCCTCTGAAACGCAGCCTCCCATCGGCACCCACTGCAGGCAAGTGTTTGACATTAGAAACAGCAAAAACGCCGCGGTCCCCACCGCCGAGTCTGAGTGAGGTAACACAACTGGGGCAAGTGCCCATGCGCATGGCAGGCTCAGGACAAACCAGGCCGGAAGGGGACAGCAAGGGGGAGGTCTGGGGCCGGAGACAGAAGCATACCTACAGGAGACATACAGTGAGCCACAGACATCCCTGGTGTAAGTCTGCTGGGGTGGGCGAGCTCCATGGTCACCTCGGGCCAAGTGCATTGGTGGCAGGGACGGTGGCGTAAGATATAGACTGCCTAGGGACAGGAGCAGTGCCAGGGTTTTTGCCGCCCTAGGCGGCAGCGCTCCTCCTCTGAGCATTCAGCGGCGGGGGTCCTTCCGCTCCGCGTCTTCAGGGCACTTCGGCGACGGGTCCCGGAGCGAGTGAAGGCCCCGCCGCCGAATTTCCGCCGAAGACCCGGAGCAGAAGGACCCCTCGCCGCCGAATTTCCACCGAGGACGGCAAAATGCCACCCCCCAAATCCTGCCGCCCCCCAAATCCTGCCGCCCTAGGCGACCGCCTAGGGTCGCCTAGTGGAAGCGCCGGCCCTGCCTAGGGAACAAGGAGCACAATAGTCTTGTTTTCCATGACATTGGCATTTGGTAGGCGTGTGACACGCATGGGCCCTGCGCACCGAGAGCGCCGGGGGAGGGGTAGTGTGAAAGGCAGCTCACATGAGGTGACAGTCGATCAGACCACATTGCTTCTCTCCCTCTTGGAAGCCTTCCGCCAAGCCCCCCCCCCCCCCCACCGTATCCCCCTCCAACACAGCCCATAGCTGGGATCTCATTTCTCATTCTGCCCACCCTCTCCCCAGCGACAGCAGCCTCAGCACCTCACTCATGTCCATCTCCCACTCTCTCCTCTGGGCCCCCGCATGCAGGGCATGACTGCCCTCTGCCCCCCCCCCCCCCCCCGCCCCCCATTCAAACCCTCCTGACGACCTACTGGCCCTGGGAGCCTGCAAAGTCCAAAGTCCATTCTCCACCTAGCATAGAACAGCAACTGTTCTTTTCTTCACATTGGTGAGGAGGGGGCCATGCCCGCCTGGCTCTGGCAGGGCGACAGTGCCAGCAGACAGCACGTGCTCCTGCAGGGAAGACAAGTGGCTACTGCAGCCTGCGGATTGGGGAGCCCACAGCAACACCTGGCAGCCTGCAGAGAAGCACCTCGGGCCCCTCCCAGAGACACGGGAAACACCCACAGCTCTTTCAAGGCGGGGAGGGATATGCGAGCGTGGGGGGACAAAGTGACACCCTAGTGGGCGGGAGGCCCTGGAGAACATGGCCTGAACATTGGCCTTGGCCCATGATCACCTCCCTGCTCCTCAGCCACCCAGTCACGGGGTCCATTTTGCGGCTGGTGGGGAGGAAGCCAGAGCCTGGCCTGTGTGAATCCCGCTTGGAGAGAGGGACACCGGGGGAGGCGAGAATGCATCTATTCAAGCTGCCTGGCCGGTTCTCACTTCACCAGCCAGTGCTGCCTCTCGATCCCCCGCTGCTCCCACAAACCCCTCTGCACGGAAGGCTGCTGTGGGGAGGAGGAGCCCTGGCAAAGGGAGATAATGGGGGTGGGGGAGCAGTGGGGGGCCTGGGGAAATTGAAAATCTTTCTTTTGATGTGATCTCTAGCACAACAGAAAAGAGAGAGAGGGTCAAACTTTTACACTCCTAGCAGGGCGGGAATCGGTGTCTGCGTGGGTCAGGGATGGGGACTGTCAGCCTCAACCCCATACTGCCTAGGCTCCTCCCCACCCCCATCCCCAGGTTCCCCACCTCCTGTCCCACGTTCACGTTCCGCCTGGCCTAGGGTGACCAGATGTCCCGATTTTATAGGGACAGTCCCGATTTTTGGGTCTTTTTCTTATATAGGCTCCTATTACCCCCGCACCCTCGTCCCGATTTTTCACACTTGCTGTCTGGTCACCCTAGGCTGGCCAGCCTGGATTCGACCAGGGCCCCTGCTCTGCTGATCTGACTGGAGCAGGAGGCGCTCCAATCTTTCCAAGAGAGAGAGAGAACCAGGCTCCTTAGCCTCCGCTAGAGACCCCTTATGCATTCCCTTTGGAGGCCACAACAGGTGTCTCTCCCAGCCCAGGTAGATAGACATGCGCTAGCTCTGCTCAGCCTAGTGTGCTAAAATTAACACCGTTGACGTTGCGGCACGGTCTAGCCGCCCACACTTGGACCCAGGAGGTGGGGCAGGCATGTCCGTGGGTGGCTAGCCCATGCCGCCACGTCCACATTGCTATTTTTAGCGCACTAGTTCAAGCCAAGCAAGCATGCGTCTGTCTACCCAGGCTGCAAAGCAGGCTTCCAGCTGCAGTGCAGACATCTCCAGCAAGCCCGACTATCAATGTCCCCATTGACTAGACACTAGCGTCCGTTCTATCGAGATCAGCGTGGGACAATCTCAGAGCTGGAGGTACCTTTCAGATCAGACCCTCGACATGTCCCAAACCAGAAGATTCTCTGCTCTACAAGTCTGAACTAGAAGTTTCCCAGAACCCACGACTTTCTGGTACTTGCTGTTTTCAATCAGGTCAGAAATTCCATGGAAACTGTCTCTCTCTGGTCCCTTCTGTGCCCAGGGCGGGACCAGTCACTGCTGTGGCAGCAGCGCAAAGCCAGAACCTTGTACAGAGAAAGTCTGCTGAACTTTCTCAAACTTCCGAAGTTTGATACATGTTCAGGGTGGGGTGAAGGCTCTAGCCAGCTGACCTTACCCAAACAGACTTCTCCATCCCTAGCCTGGAGAGAATCTAGGCTCTATTCCCAGCTCTGCCACAGCCCCAGTGGGTGACCTTGGGCAAGTCACCGCCCCTGTGTGCCTCAGTTTCCCCTTCTGTAAAACAGGGATAATGATTCTGGCTCTCCTTTGGGGCCCTGGAGGGAAAGTGCTGTATGAGGGCTAAGGAACCCCCACTCCCTGCCATACTTTTTCATTTTGTCCTGGAGATCACCCCCATGCCTCTGCTCCCAAAGAAAACAGGCTGATGATGGGCAGGGAGGCTGTATACGTTTTCTACTGGGTTACAGCAGCTTGCCTGGGGTTCAGTGCTGGGCACCCTTAACTCCCAGTCAAGTCAATGGGCTGTTAAGTCCAGGAATCAGCTCAAATGAGGATGTCAGGATTTGGCCCACTGGGAGTCAAGGGGGCTCTGTGCCCTGAAGGTCTCTGCCCCCCAGCACAGATGTGCAGGTCAGCGTTCCTGATGTACCCATTTCTGGAAGGACGGCAGGCCAAGCCGCTCCAGCCCCTGGGACAGCAGGCCAGCATGGTTGGGAGCTCACCTGGCTGTCTAGTCTCCGTTGCGTAGGTCCCCTACACGGGTGCTGCTCGCACACTCGGGGTCCTTGCTTTTGCGGTCTATTTCGCCCCCTTTTATCTTCTTCCTAGTCATGTGACCACGGAAACTAGCCTGGATTTTGGCTGCTGCTGCGTTGGCGTCAGGATCGTCTAGTGGGATATCCAGGATGTCTTCGTCCAGCTTGGTGCAGGCCCCTTCCTGGAACAGAGGCAGAGCCAGAGTCAACGCAACACACACGGGAGGCTGTACACCGCCAGGCTGTGCTACCACAGGGGAGGGGATAGGACGGTCCTGATAGCGGGGGAAGGAGGCTAGTTCACAGAGAAGAGACATAGGGGGTCGCAGTGTGGGGAGGCCTGGGTTAGGGTTCTCAAGCCTATGAGCAAAACAGGAGACCCCTGCCCTGTAGCATACCACCCGGTCACACGCCTGAGGACTCCCTCTCTCCAGCCAGAGGAGCTCCCTGGAGTGCCTGGGCTGGATTCTGTACAGGCTCCTTGCTTGCCATGGCTTGTGACATGGGCTCCAGCCAATGCTAGACAAGTTAGCAATGCATTCCCTTGAAAGGCAGCTCTGCGATGAACAGTGACTCGGGAAGCATGGCGTCACGGGCTTCCACCTTTCTCGTCTCTCAGTTTACCCCGAGCAGCTTGTAAGCGCCTGCCCTGCAAAATCCCCTGGGATCTCAGCGGCACTCCTCCTCGCACATCACTAGCACTACAGGTTCTGCAGGCGAGACTCTTCCCTTCCAGACACCAGTGCAACTCCTCTTGCCTTCCTACGTCTGTAGGCCCTAAGGGACCTGTACACTCCCGTTGCCCTCAGCGGGCCGGCACACATGTGACGAACTGGAATGGAGTAGACCAGGGATTCTCAAACTGTGGGGTCTCGACCCTGTTTTAATGGGGTCGCCCAGGCTGGCATTAGACTTGCTGGGGCCCGGGGATGAAGCCGATGCCCGAGCCCCACCGCCCGGGGCAGCGAGGCTCAGGCAAGGGCTTCAGCTTTCCCCTCCCCGCCCCCCGCCCAGGGCGGCAGGACTGGGGCGGGCTCAGCCTTCGGTCCCCACTCCTGGGTTTGTGTACATAGGTGCCAACTCCATGGGTGCTCTGGGGCTGGAGCACCCACGGGGAAAAATTAGTGAGTGCTCTGCACCCACCGGCAGCCAAGCTCCCCTCCTCCCCCTCCCCCTCCCCTGAGCACACCGCATCCCCACTCCTCCGCCTACGTCCCAAGCGTTTCCCATCCAGCCGCCGCCAAGGGGGAGGAGCAGGAACGTGGCGCGCTCAGGGGAGGAGCCGGGGCTGGGCGGGGATTTGGGGAAGAAGTTGGAATGCGGGCGGGGCAGGGCCGGGGCCTCATTGAAGGGATGCAGTGGGGACGGTGGCAGAGGGGGGGTCGAGCACCCAGGGGAAAGGAGGGGAAGTCAGCGCCTATTGTGTAGTAATTTTTGTTGTCAGAAGGGGGTTCCAGTGCAATAAAGTTTGAGAACCGCTGGAGTAGACAACCAGCTGATACTCCAGAAGTGCCCCAGTCCTAGACCTGCCCCAGCTCACTCTCTCATCGCCGGGCTGGCCCTGCAGGCTGACTCCAGCGTTCAGCTATTCGCCTGATTCTGATCCCAGCTATGCTAACAGAGACCTGGCATGACTGTACTGAAAAAGGCAGAGTTACTTCAGCTTTACACTGGCGCTGAGATTAGAATCGGGGCCAAGATTACCACATTGCAACTGAAAAACAGGAAAAGAAACAGAAATGAACAATTGTTTTTTGAATCTTCCATAAGGTGTTGAGTTGTGCTAAGTTAATTACAGTTTGACTAATTTCAGCCCACCGTCTCTTCAAACTGCAATTAGCAATAGGTTCATTACACTTGATTGTTTTGTTTTGCCAGAGAAGTGTTGAAAAATTCTTCGGTTTGGAGGAGGAAGAAAGAACAGCCTGAATATTTTAAAAGGTAGTGATTGGGAGGAGGGGGAAAGGGTAATAACTGCATGACAATGCTGCCACTGTCCTGATTACATTGAATCAGACCCAAATGCCAATGGTGAGAGAGTCTCACCTTCTATTATTTAACGTTTCTATTGTAGTTTAAACCAAGGTCAGGCCCCATTGCACTAGTGCTGCACAAACACATAGTAAAGGACAGCCCCGCCCCAACGAAGTTCTAAAGACAAAGTGAAAAGATGCTAAAAAAGTGGCATTATAAAAATAAACTTTGAGTTAAACAAATCTCACTGCAGTACCCATCAGAATTCTGTTGGCAACAATAAACAGTGTTCAGGTAGCTACATGAGATGGGGACAAAAGCTGTACTGGGTAAACACCTCATGTTCCAGGGCATATGCCAAACACTGACTGCCTGGGTTAGGAAGAAACTTCTTGTATAGGAAGGTTAAACTATCAGTGCCCATTAAGGGGTTTCTTGCACTTTCACCTGAACCATCTGGCTGGCCACCATCAGAGACAGGATACTGGACTAGAAACACAGGAATTGCCAGACTGGATCAGACCCATGGCCCATCTAGCTTTGTCTCCTAAGTACCAGCTGCTCCAAAGGAAGCAGTAAGCAGACATAAGAACGGCCATACTGGGTCAGATCAAAGGTCCATCTAGCTCAGTATCCTGTCTTCCGACAGTGGCCAGTGCCAGGTGCCCCAGAGAGAATGAACAGAACAGGGAACCATCAAGCGATCCATCTCCTGTCGCCCATTCCCAGCTTCTGGCAAACAGAGGTTAGGGACACCATCCCTGCCCATCCTGGCTAATAGCCATTGTTGGACCTATCCTCCATGAACTTATCTAGTTCTTTTTTTAACCCTGTTATAGTCTTGGCCTTCCTCTGGCAAAGAGTTCCACAGGTTGACTGCGTTGTGTGAAGAAATACTTCCTTTTGTTTGTTTTAAACCTGCCGCCTATTAATTTCATTTGGTGACCCCTAGTTCTTGTGTTATGAGAAGGAGTAAATAACACTTACTTATTTACTTTCTCCAAATCAGTCATCATTTTATAGACCTCTATCATATCCCCCCTTAGTCGTCTCTTTTCCAAGCTGAAAAGTCCCAGTCTTATTAACCTCTTCTCATATGGAAGCCGTTCCATACGCCTAATCATTTTTGTTGCCCTTTTCTGAACCTTTTCCAATTCCAATATATCTTTTTTTGAGATGGGGCGACGACATCTGCATGCAGTATTCAAGATGTGGGTGTACCATGGATTTATATAGAGGCAATATGATATTTTCTGTCTTATTATCTATCCCTTTCTTAATGATTCCTAACATTCTGTTAGCTTTTTTGACTGCCGCTGCACATTGAGTGGATGCTTTCAGAGAACTCTCCACAATGATTCCAAAATCTCTTTCTTGAGTGGTAACAGCCAATTTAGACCCCATCACTCTGTATGTATAATTGGGATTGTTTTCCAGTGTGCATTACTTTGCATTTATCAATACTGAATTTCATCTGCCATTTTGTTTCCCACTCACCCAGTTTTGTGAGATCCTTTTGTAGCTCTTCATAGTCAGCTTTGGACTTAACTATTTTGAGTAGTTTTGTATCATCTGCAAATTTTGCCACCTCACTGTTTACCCCCTTTCCCAGAGGCGGGGCAATCTTCCCCTACATTAGGAATCATGCTAGTCTAGGGAGTCCACCCATCTGGTTTCATACCAGGCGGTCCTATTTTTGGCTGGTTTGTCCCCTGTCCAGTACTGGGACAAAACCTGACATGGCATTGTCCTGTATTGGACAGGGGACACCATTTTGAAGAGCATGCTGCTGGCGTGACCTCACATACACCAGGGACAGGGTGGTGCACTCCTGAAAACGGCATCCCCCATGTGGCATGACATCGCCCATGCCGTGCATGCAAGGTCAAGCTGGCAGGGCAGGGTGGAGCACTCCTGAAAATGGGTGTCCCCCGTACCGTACATGCAGGGTCACACCAGCAAGGGCAGCGGGGTCATGCCATTCCCAGATATCAAGCTAGAGGAACAATGCTAGGAAATACCAGTGAGCCTTTCATTGGGATCAGTAAGCCGAGCTGTTCAGTTGTTCTGTTCCACACCAGTACAATCCTGGCTATCTGTATGACATAATGGAGGATGCTCCACTGCTCAGCAAGCTGAGAATCTGTGAAAACAGAGCTAGCAAGAGCCTAGAGCATCAGCTGCCAAGATTATCTGGGTCTCTCTCATGTAACCATTTCACTGCCATGGCAGGGCCTCGGTCCTGGCGCACCTCAGTCCCTCCAATTCTCTGCCTGTGGCACAGAACAGTCCAGTCTCCTGGGCGGGGGGTCTCATTTCAGTTGCTAGGGTTAGTGTGCGGGTGTCAGGTGATGCTGGTGGCCTGTTATATAAGGAGGTCAGACTAGATGGTCTGATGGTCCCTTCTGGCCTTAAACTCTGTGACCTGCGAAACCAACGGCATCAAGAGGATGTAAGCAAAGACAACAGAAAAGAGAAGATGGAGGAGAGAAGCATCAGTAACTTGAAAGCACCAGCATCACTACAGCGTCTGGTTACAGAGACAAGGGAACTAAATTATATATATCAGGATCTCATAATAAATGCTCCGGGAGCTTGACTGGCTATAACTTAACTGCAGGCTTTCTAAGCATTAAAGAAATTACTAGATTGACAGCCTCTGATAAAACGGCAAGCAGTATAACTCAATCCTTTCTCCTACCTGGGAGGGAAATCTGGGGGCCAACCTTAACAGCCATCTTCACTAGTTGGGATGACACCCCACATCTCCAGGCCTTCAGCAGCTATTCCATGGTCACAGGAACTCCAGCATCAGTGGCTGGGAGAGCAGAACGGAAGATACATGTCGCTTCTGGCGCCCCATCAGCCAATACAGCAAACCCTCACTCTCCTGCACAGCAGTAAAGGATCCAGGACGCCATCCAAATGAAAGCACAACCTGTTCCTAGATAACATCACTCCCAGGCTGCAATAGTACCAGCCTGACTAGTGGAGCAAGCAAGCGATCTCTCCCCAAACCAGAGCCGGCTGAAACACAGGAACATTCTTATCAAAAGACATTTGTTTGACGTTGGGATTTTTTTCCAGTGAAAATCAAACAATGCCTGAGACACCCCGAGGCAAGTCACCCAGAAGAACAAACTGGACTGCTCCGGATCCCCACACAGAACTATCACAGTAATCAGGGCCGGATTTAGCGGCAGGCAAC